GTCGGCAGCTTGATGATCATGCTTCTTGTCGTGCTGATCTCCGTTACCATTTATAAATCGATGTTCAACACTCGAAAATCAATTGGTGCAGACAAAAAGGAAGCAGGTTAACTTTGAACATTTCTTAGACGGTCATCATAATCTTAGACATATGTGTAGATATTCAAGAAGTTCATTTGAAAGCTATTTTCAGCACAAATCATGTTCTGGACAACGGAGTTCAGCATTTGAACATAATCAATATCGATAATATCACTGATCAGGTATGACATTTAGTAGATAATTGATCTATATTATTCTTTTGTTTTTTGTTGTTGTAGTTAAACATCATATTGAATGGGACTATAATTAGCGTTGCCAATGCATTTATCCGAAACCATTCCATATCGAAAGAGTACTGTCAATAAACATCATGTAATGTTATTTTTTTGCCTATGTTTCAATTTTGCTTAAGGATTATATGCGAAAATTCACTCTCGGAAAATATTCTCCAATTGAATATTACCACTTTTAACCAACATAAATGTGATTATGATAAAGATGATTTGTGCAAGACCCAGCTTCACAAGCATTTATATACATTATTCAGTCAAACGCCGACCGTTTCTCTCATGATTCAGTTTGATGACAATCGTTTCAAGAGTATTGACATCAAAATATGTAATCTCACAGAAATGAATGGTAAGATAGATTGTACTACTTCAGAAGAGTCGTATTACTTTTCTTTTATTAAGAAACAGAAGAAGAAACAATTTCAACAACAACAAAGATGAAATCGAAACAAGCAGCGCCGCCATACATAGTGTCACAACCAATGGAGAGAAACAGTAAGTTCCTATATTATATTGATAAGCTTCTCTCAATCTTTTGAAAACATTCACAATTGTTGTTATTCCTAAATTATTCTGTTGTTAACAACAGTAAAAGTCATAAACATTGTTAGAGGTTTCGTTGACCAAGTGTATTCAATTTTTGCCGATAAAATTTGCTGGATCTCACTATAATTCAAGAAATCATATGATTATGAAGAAAAGTAACAAATTTAGTCTCTACTACTGTATTAAAGTGTGATTTATGATTGATTTGTTCTACTTAAGTCAATCATATTGTCCTCGAGAGTGAAATAAACTCATATATCGCAGGATCATCTACTATCACTCACACTATGGAATTTTGTCCATTCGGTCTGTCTGTCTGTTGGTGATAGACTGTGCAGCAGCCCGAATTCGAGATAGTTCACTTTCCTCGTTTTATACTTGAGCACTTATTTTCAATTTTGTTTTCACAAAGCATCACGTTTTGGAAGTAATATTTCTTTTTTGAGTTTTTTTTTTCTTCATGAGACTAATAGGTGTTAAGGGAATCATCGATGGAACCGTATCGTTTTGAGTCCATAGTTTATCTATAACTAAAGAACGAGTACAGTAGCATCACCTGTAAAGAATTTCTTTTTTCATTGAGTCTGGGCTAGGATGTAAGTTTTTAAAAATAGAATACTCTTAAAAAATAGTAATGAAACTAAAATTTTTCTTGACGCATCAGAGGGATCTTCACACCAAAAACTGGATTTCTTTCGAGGTTGCTACAGCCTACTGTCATTTATTTATGGGCAAAATATTAGCTCCAAAACACTATAATTCCATAAATTATTTCCTCGAAATGTGTCGAAAAATTATTCGAACCTTCTCTATTTTGAATAAAATCGAGCAATGCCTTCAGCAAAGCTATTTTTAGACATCTGTTGACCCAATTAACAGAAATAATCGAAGAAAAAAAAGTTTCTCTAACAATTTGGCATCAGTCTTATGCATTTATTTAACTATCATTGTACCTAAATGATTGGGGATTTTTTTGAAACACATGATCTATCGAGATGCGTTTTCAGATTTTCAGATTATGGAGCACTGGATTTTAGTATCATAGAATGTTCGAAGTGTTCGGTCATGAAGTTTTGTTTTTTTCCGCCTATCTGACTTAGGATGATACCATGATCGATGTGAGTATCACTCTTCTTTACGACTAGAAAGGATCTGGTGTGATTCACATTCTAATTCTCAGGAATACGTTGAAAGCTTTTCAGTTAAAATTATGCTTTCATCGTAGTTTAATTTAACTTTTATCCTTCTACAGGCTAAAATTATTCTTATTTTTTTTTTACTAATGCCATCATGGAAAACTTCAAACTATGTCGTCGTTATCACATCATTTTGTCATGTCTTGTAGGCTTCCATCATAGTTCTTCACTGAATATTTACAGTCACAGATAGTTATACTTTGTTAGATTTGTATCACATTATAATTAAATAAAACTTACATCACTTGACTTAATATTCTCTTAAATTCAAATTCTATTCAGTCGTGTTTAGTATGAGTTGACATGAGTTCAGCACACATATTTTTTCTACACTTCCCTTTGATTTCAATCTGAACAGATTAATTCATCTTGGAATTCAATATAAGTAGTGGCAAGAACTTTGATGTAAGCAGTAGAAAATAGTGAACAAGAATAATTAACAAGATTTACTCATCTCCTTTGAAATGAATAAAATTACGAAAATTGTGCACATTAGGACGTTTAGAAAACAGCATTTATCATTCCACCATATACTAAAATATGTACCATTTTTCATATACTATCTTCCTTTACGATAATAGTCCAACAGAACGATACTGCATATTAGTACGACAGTGTTTTCACAGTTTAAAATGATACTCAGCTGTATGATATATCTAAAATTTGATGATTCAGTTTGCACATTTTTATTAGGGCCACACATTATTACCACACCATATTCGATATTACAGAGGTCTCGGTGTACTCTATGCATTAACAAAATCGGTCTTGTTCAAATGCCTGGTGAAGGTGGATCACGCATTCAAGATGATATACAAACGAGTGTGTTTTTCAACGATGATCAATCTCGACAATATCTAACTGCTACAGTGTATGAAGACACGTACTATCGATTAAATGTTCAGCTCGATTGCAGTGTATATTCAAGCGAAGGTCTACTTGGGAGCCCCTGCAGTCGTTTTCTAAGTGTGACCGTGTGGATCGATTTCAACAATAATGGATTGGATGAATCAGAAAGCCGACTTCTCAAGCCAGCTCGGTCAAGAAATGACATATCTACAGGTATATATAATTTGGACGTATATATACCTAGGATTGACGACAGAACTACAAAATATGGACTCCATCACATGATCCTTACTGTGATGCCAAGCGAAGACTATCAAAGAGAATGTGGCAGTTTTTCGTACAAAGAAACGCGAGATTACACAGTCAACATTATTCCAAAAGTGGTACCTATAGGTAAATCATTGTTTGCTAACTGATTACAAATATTGTATCATAACAGTACATGTTTGACTATTGTCCTTGAAGAAAACTTTTCCCAAGTATTTCACTTTTCATCGTTCCTAGAATAAAGATCATACTTAATTAATGTTTTTCTTGAAAGAAATCGTTTTTGGCAGCAGAGAGTCATAGAAAATCTAGTATTCATTTTTCAAGTACTTTAAAAAGTACTTTTACGGGAAACTTTTCCTCAGATGAGCAAACACATAGAAGACACTTTCATTGAAATACTGTATTTTTAGCTACACTATATTGAGAACAGAAAAACTACGTTAGTTAGCTGATCCCTAGTTTTTCTATCTCTGGTTAAATAAAATAATTATCCTGGAAGTTTTAGATCGAATAACCTAAAGCTCACGGGAAACCGTAAAAAATATTCCTTCTTGTTAAATAATTATTTTCTACGGTGTTGAAAACATGATATTTCTATAACATCATTCAAACGCCATGTTTAAATACCATAATTCGCTAAAACAAATTCCACTCAAGAACTATCTAGATATGTAGAAGAAGATAATTATTGATATTTTCATAACAATGTATTGCCACATAAAACTATTTTCTCAGTGTGATATTTATAAACAAGAACGTTTTTTGACTTAAGCAAAAGTTGAGCAAAAAAAAGATAAAAAAAAATGAAGGACCAGTGAACTAAAATGCTCTTCTATTTTCATGTTACAAGGTTCCATTTTTGTGGACTTCTTGCACACAAATTTTCAGATTTTCGGCTCGTCTAGGTGCTAAAAGTCAAGGGAGTATAGTTTTACACAGCAGTGGATTTATCATTGAAAATATTGTTAGCCTTGATTTCAAACTGAAATACCAACACAAAATATACTAATACCATTGTAAGCGTAATTTTGTTTAGAAAAATGAAAGTTCTCATTCGACTTTAAGTAACAGAAAACTATTATTAGTCTTAATGAAAAATTGACGTTTTATTTCCGCACGCGTCATAGAAACTCTTAGTCATCTTAAGTCCTTGAGACTTAACCCTCTTGACATGACGAAACATGTTTGATAGAGATTTATTTCACAAGTATTTATCTGGAAATTACTTGGTTCATATGCATGATTTACCAAGATTTTTTTTAAATTTTTTATTAAATGTGTTCAATCATATTGGCAACATGGTTTGGTATATAAAGCTATTTTAATAGTTTCCAATTAGAGTACTAAAATTGAACTCAATTGGAACGCAAATCGAAATCGATGTTGAAAGTTTTCGATGAGATTAACTTTCGAGTAGAGATTATTCAGTATTTTCTTCGACTATTAATGGTCGATCATGAATAGAGTAGTATCAATGTTTATATGAATGAATACTACGATTAGAATTATACAAATAACTATGCAGGTTCAAGTGAGTTTGATTATTACGAAATAACAAAGAAAATATTAAAGCCAGATCGATATTATCTATAGTTGGCGACTTTATATCTTTGTTTTCATCTTGTCAGTACACTATACTGAATATTGTGAATATCTTTTAATTGTAGTCGAAATAGCTACTCAATTTGTCTGCCCACTAAACATCGCTCCAATTAATCTTGTTATGATGGCCGGAGAGAAAGGAACAGAGATTCGAGATAATAAGCCAACGAACGTATTCACAACTGATTATCTAAATCAACATCACATGGCCGTTACACTTTTTGAACACACTGTCTATATGCTACGCATTCAGTTGGATTGTTCTTCGCAATGGAGGACTGTATTAACTGCAACTGGTTGTAATCTTGCTCAAGATGTGAATGTTTGGATTGATTTAAATGATGATGGAAATTTTGATCAATCAGAAATCGGAACTCCTTATCGTTGGCCAGTGACTAGCTATATGGCAGAAGGCATCTATGATATACAAATATATGTACCGGCACTCGGTAACAGATATATTAGAAATGGACCACATAGAATGCGTATTGTTGTTATACCGAGTGAATATTATCGAAGAGCCTGTCGCTATCATGAATACAACCAGACGCGAGAGTATATGGTCACTGTTATTCCAAGAATGAAATATTCTTGTAAGTATTTTTGTGTTTATTAGTGACTAGTTTGCTTTTATAATGCTGAATGAAAAGATTTGAAATGTACTTTTGAAAAAACTAGTCGAATCATCATAATTGGTTTGTACACAATGTAGTTTCTTTGTTACAATTAATCAAATAGAATTATGTACATCCTCATAAATAAGTATTTTAATGACTTTGTACAGATTCCAATTTGTTTCAATTATTATTCACTCTTCAAAAGTTCAGAGAAGTTGTATGACATAAGAAAAAAGTTAAACCACATGCAGTACTAGACGCTATTCATGTTTTGCACTTTGATTAGAACGTAACACTTTGTTTTGTAAACTGTTTTTTTTTGCAGCACTCGACGCTACACCCACCTCTCAGATACCAGCCAGCGCGCCATGTTCTCCTGATGTTGGCAAACTCATTCTTGTTGTAATGGCTGGTGAGCATCGAACACAAATTTGGGATGATGAGTCAACGAGGGCTGCATTGACTGGCAACACTCAAAATTATCAACACCGAGCTATTGTACTATATGAAGATACCGTCTATCTGCTACGCATCCAATTGAAATGTACTGGATCACGAAGCAGAGATTCTGTTGAGAATAGCTGTAGCCTTTCTCATGATGTGGCTGCCTGGATTGATCTAAACGATGATGGCAAATTTAGTGATACAGAAAATGCAGCTCCTTATCGCTGGCCGCTCACTAGTTATATACCACAAGGCTTCTATGATCTACAAATATATGTACCTAATATCGACGGAAAGAAGACGAAAAGTGGACCACATCGTATGCGCCTTGACGTAATTCTAAATGAACAACATCGTAAGAAATGTGGCAAGAATTACTACATGGAGACGCGAGAGTATAATGTTACCATTGTTCAAAAAAGTATGAAACAAGCAGGTAAATATTTTTTCTTCTCCTATACAGCTAGAGACATTAAATCTTATGAATATGACTTGACTATTTCTATTATGAACAATTTTGTTCGTTTACCAAGATGATTTCAACTTTTCATAAAATGAATGCTCCTATCAAGAGCATGAATATTTACAGAAAGAGTTATTAATGAGTAGATTATCCTACAAATAGAAGTATGTTTTGTAAAAGCAAATTCAAAATGTCAAGCATAGAACAGATTTTAGAAGTTTACATGCTACTGAGGTTCTTTCATTTAGTGAAGCAAAAGTTACTGTCTCGAGCAGTTTTTCACACATGTTTGTTGTGATGAAAAATGTCCAAAAAATGGATAACATCTTTGTAAACGTATAATCAAGTTCAACAAGCTGTTCTTGTAGTCTATTTTGGCTCAGACATCGAGAAATAGTATTTTTATAAATTCTAACTATATCATTCATGCATGAAATTTTGAAAGAAAAACATGATTTCATGTAAAAACCTACTAATTAGTATTCTTGATAGAGATTCGACTAGTTTTTTCCTCTACACATAAAAATCTAATATTTTTTCAAAGGGCAATTAAAACTGATTTTCTCTCGATTGTATTTATCAGTAATCTTACTACAACCATTGAGTTCCACAAAACAAAAATCCTAGTAGTACGTTCTCAAATAAATGTTTCTCACTTTAAATGAGAAAGATACATACAACTGTCAATATGATATCATAGATAACTGAAACAAATACTGCAAATATAACATCGAATACAATTGTATAGAGGCTATTTATTCGTCCTTTTTGTTTGTCAGAGAAATCTGATGTTGAGTTAGTATATCAAAAAGAACAGATGCATGACATTACTCTACATTTATTTCATCGAATTTTTCAAATTTTATTATACCTTGATCGAGAACAAGTATTCTAAGTGATGAAATCTGTATTGGTGTAAAATATAAGAATTTTTGACGATTCAAATCAAGTCGATAGTTACTGATCAGTTTAAACATAACGGAGTTGTACATAACGAACGAAGTTTTAAGATTTCTATATAATATTTTTTAACATTGTCGTTACTTCTAGTCGATACCGAATGCCCATATTTGACATTAAGTGACTCAGCATGTTTTCAAACCAATGGCAAAATCGTACTTATTGTAATGGCTGGTGAACACGGGTCATATATTCGAGATGATACACCAATAAATACTGTGATTGTAGAAGATCAAAATCGGCATCATATGACCGTTACCTTATACGAAAATACCATCTATCGAATACGTATTCAATTGAATTGCGACCAACGCTCCAATAGAGCTTTGCTTAAAGTTAATTGTAACCTTGCTTACGATGTGAATGTCTATATTGATCTAAACAACGACGGAAAATATGATGAATCAGAAAGCTGTGTTTCTCATCGGTGGCCACTACGTAGTACAATGACGATAGGCATTTATGATTTGGAAATTTTTGTACCTAGTATCGATGAACTGACTACGAAACGTGGATCATATATCACGCGCGTCGTTGTAAAGTCGAGTGAAGAGTATGACAGAAAATGTGGCAGGTCTGACTACAACGAAACACGAGAGTACACAATCAATATTATTCCAAAGACAACGTATGATGGAGGTAACACGCTTTTATAATTACTGCATAGAAGTTGTCGATTATGTCAGGAATGTTGTCCTCTTTAAAAGTAAGAGCGATGGATACGGTTTTGATAGGGATAATAGCATAGACTTGTGACAATTGAGCTATACAAGAACAAAGGATTGTTGAATGAAAAAAAAATTATAAAGTATCGACCGTCTGCGAAATCTAATTAATTTTATTAGTGCAAAGGGGTTTCTCAGTAATGCAAAAAGGCAAGTACCGTATATATATACCCAAAAATAAAAGTGACCGTGCAGAAGTAGAAAAAAACCGGGAAATATTTGAAACAAAGTCAATTTTACACATTTTCTTGTCCATTAAGAAGCTCATTTCGTGAAACGCACCACTTTCATTATAAAGATATTGGCAAAACTATTGTCAATCTTGTGCACATCGACAATTAATAATTCTATCAAATTTGTTCTCTTTTATTATTACAATATGCTGCATTCTCTCTTTTAGGCTACAAGGTTACTCATTGTATTCCTGACGGTTTCGTGTGTTCAGAAGGCAGTAGTGCAATTACTTGGGTGAAATTATTGGGTGAGCAAAGTACACAGATTCGAGATGAAACGAAAGCATGTAGCTCAACAAATAATTATAATGATCGAAGTGATCTAACGGTGACATTGCTTGACAATACGACTTATACTCTTCACATCGAATTTTCCTGTGTTCAACGATTGGGGCATGCATATTCGTTTAGCAAAGACTCATCACTGTTTACAAAGACCTGTATTAATGCTCGCTATGTTGGCGTTTGGATAGATTTCAACAACAATGGTATATTCAATGAAAGTACCGATCGAATTATTTCTACAAGTTGGGATAGAAATGATCCTTTCATGGCTCAGCGTGATTTAAATATTACCATTCCACAAATTGATGGGAAGTATTATTGGGGCGGACACCATCGAATGCGTATTGTTCTGACGCAAGATGAAAGAAGTCGTAATCCATGTCAAATTAGTGGTTATGGCGAAGTGCGAGATTATACAGTACAGATCGCACAGAAACCAGTTTATTGAAATAAAAGATTGATGTTTTATTGGCACTATATTATTCAAGAATTTTGAAATTTACTTTTTCTTTTTTTTCTCAAGTATTCTAAACATGAAAATAAAACTCGCACGTCACCCCAGAGTATTACTTAAAACTAAATTATGAAAATAGACGAAAGATGTCATGGAAAAGCTTTCAGCGTCATACATATTAAATAAAAATGTGATAGACGACGAAGTCAATTGAATCATGATGTACAAGCTTGACTAGGTGTGGGGTCTCTATATGAGTGTGCATGCGAATGTGGTTCGGGACGAGATACTCACACTCACACCCGATCTGATTTGACTGTTTCTACCGGTACTGGTAAGGAGAATCTCCTGACGGTTCAAAATATGGTATGAGGCTGGGTATGGATGTGGCTCATCTCGATAAATATCCACATCCATACCCTCAAAGAACTTACGGCGAATGAGTCTACTGACGTGAAAGGCTGGCTGGCAGTTTGTAATCCGTTTTTTGATAGAGATAAGCATTAGTATTTATTGGTAGACTAGCGATTAAGACTGGAGACAGGAGCTGATTTTATAGGGAGTTAAAAGTGTTGTATTTCTTTAGTGGAGACCCGGCTTCTTTTCCAGAAAACGGAATAGCTTTACATGAATAGTAGAGCGTTTTGATATTGGCACGTATCTAGTTTTTGCGAAGAAAAATATTTTCCTAACCAAAAATGTAAAACGCACCTGGATAATCGATAAAAGACAGTGATACTCAAAAGGTTTCGTTTTTTTTTATTTCAACATTGTGCATCGTAAGTGTGCATGATTTCATTTCCTACCTATTTATTGATTTTAGATAATGGATACTTCTTCGATGCTGTACAACAGGGAGTGGAAGATATCTAAGCGGTTATGATTGCGAAGAAAAGCAAAACTATAGAAACATTTTTTTACTTTTAAGATTCAATCCCACTCAAAAATCTATTTCTTTTTGCCCTAGAAAAAAGATCTGGCTGAAACTTACAAAAAGTATCTAAATAAGTGTTGCTCACAGCTAGAAGCTCAGTTCAAAATATTGAAGTATTAAACAGTTATCATGGGATCACGACTTAAAATGTAGATCCTGTTTTTTAAGAGTTTCTCCTTCAAAACTAATGATACAGATTTGATGTTTGCCATAATGTAGCAAAGAGCCATCGTTGCAACTTCTGGGAGTGTGATCTTTCAAGATTCTTCAAAATTTTCTTCTTCATTTCTGATGCAATTGTCGCTTAGACAAATCCACAAAAATAGAGATATCCTTACCGAAAAAATTCAGTTTTGTGAAGAAGTAAGTCAAAATTAATAGAGTTGGCTACTTGGAGTTGTAGAGTGTAATTTTCTCTTCTATTGAAGATATTTTCGAATTTTCCAGCATCTAAAACAGCTGGACAATCATTGCAATAATAACATTGAAAAACAGAAAAATTTATTTCTAAAAAACGACAAAATGAATTATGACGTTGAAAATGAAAGTTTTACACGTGGGTGTAGTACATAAGATGATGAGGATTATGATGAGCGTAGGAGGTTGCGGCTCTGCAGAACAATCGTCCACAACCCACGCTCTACCGGATCGGTGGTTTAACGTTAACAGTTACAACACTGCCACGCTCACATATGCATCCTTGCTTGTTGAGTTGCTTCTTTTTCTGTTACACAAAAAGACATGGGTGGAAAATTATGTTTTATGGGAAGTATGACACCAAGTAGTCATTGCTCTTCTCATTAATAATAACTACTCACCTACCAAATATATAGTTCCTTTTTGCATTCTTTTTTATTGAATAACAGTAGTTTATCAGTGATGTAGCTAGAAGCTTTTTCACTTGCATTTCTCTCTGTACAAGCAGTCAAGAACGCAAAAGAAATATATTCTCGATGTGCCAGTGGAGAATATATACATTTAACGTCAAGTCTATTATTCAATCAAGATTATCGTTGCCCAATGAATAGCCTAAGCATGCCGTATCTAGTGAATGTTTGCCAAAATAATGATAAATGTTTTTTTTTAGTTAATGCTACCACAACAATATATTGCTTATGCAATAGATGTTTCACAGGTAATCAATACGAAATTGAATAATATTCCAAAGATCTTTGCATCTATGGGCGTGGGTAGATCTACGGCTGTGAGTACGGATGATATTCGTAGTTACACCTGCACCTACACCCTACTTTCTGAGGGTGATTGTAAAATGACAAGTAGATAAAACTTTATGTTTCATTCAAATGAAGACAACACAAATTCATTAATGTGATCACCTTCATGGTTCCACGAATTGCTTGTGTTGAGATTCATGAAAATCGTAGCGAGTTAAAGCTCAAGTATGTTTATATTCGTAACGTTGTTGAAAGAGTGGGAGAGTAAAAAGTCCTCCGAATGTGTCTTTTGTAGAAAGAAAATTATTTTTTTTAAATGAAACAAGAGAAAAGTTCAACTTTTTTATCTTATGAGATCCTCTCGTTTTTGACAGATTCCATTTTTATCTCGAATAAATCAAGCAAACTTCTTTGAATTAATATTTTGAGTAACTCTGCTGATAACTTGGACTCTATACTATGAAATATGTCCCTATGGTGTATGACCGAAAAATAATCTTAGAAAAAAACACTTATATAGTGTTTTGCTTTATGCCATTAATACGAGAGATGAGAATCAACTTCTTCAATACTAACTAAAACTACTATTATAGTTTCGTTATTTTTTGAGATCACTACACCTCCTAATGAGCTGAAATATGAAACTTACTTTATTTACAAGCACATTATAATATGCGCCCGTATTACTCGTGAAGTTGTCGAGATATAGTTGAGTTACATTGGATTACGTACAATTAAGTCATTAAATCAATTGAACTGTACACAAAAAAGTCTGCGTACTTCACTTTAGTAAGTTGACTCCTGAAATATTATTTCCAGTGACTTTTTATAGAGCGAAGAAATAGACAAGTTTCGTTGTTTGATTTTTGGAAGAGAAAATTAATTTATGTACATAGCATTTCACAGTTAACATCAGTTTCTGTATGTCTACTGATTATAATTGAAAAATCGAAGGGAAGCAACATGTTTTGATTGCCAATTATTGAATGTTTTTGTGATTCCTGTGGCTGATATAAAATATACAGTAATAACGTGTAAACTGTATAATGCAGAATATTATTTTTAAGATATTTTTCTAATGCTATCGATGAATATAAAAAGTAAATTAGAAAATCGAAACAAAAAACTTTACTTGTCTGCTTTTTATCAAACATGTATCTCATATTTTTCAATTTAACATATCAAAGTTTTGAAAAAACGATAATTTTATAACATATGAACCGAAAGTATGTTATTTACATATATGAAATTAGTAGATAAATTAATAGATATATTATAGAACTATTTGTAAATAATTAAGAGAGATCTTATATATTGTCATTTTAGAATAAATTTATGTATAATAAAGCAATTTATTGGCAAATTTCTCTCAAAAGATCAAAACTTCTTATTAGTGCTTCCAGTATTTACAACAACTGAATATTTTATTGCCTTGTTCACGTAAAAGATTATTGTTCAGTTTTTATAATTCAAATAATAGAAAATCAACAAATAGTTTAGTTTTAATATTGATACTATCGATAAATATTTCTTTCGATATTTTATTCTATTTAATTATGCTACTGATTAGCCCTTTTCGCAGCGGGTTTTTTTTCAGTGAGAAAGGCAAGGGGGGAAACAGCGGACTTTTGGATTTGAAGTTACTTTGGGCTACTTTAGCGTACTTTTCTACTTCAAGTCCGCTGTTTCTCCCTTGGATAAAGGTGTCCATATCTAGAGGAAAAATAGTTTCTGTCACAATATGTGAAAAGCCCTTGTGTCTGGAAGGAAAAGTAGCTTTTTCAATCGCGAGGGAGCCCGTCAGTCACATATATGTCAAACTTGAAACTTAAATTCAACTGAAATTTCAATTTTGAAGTTTCAAGTTTCAAGTTTCAATAGGTTTATAAGCCTTGAATCAGAAATTTACTTTTAATATACGGAATCTTGTATTGTGAGAAACATGATGTCGCTAAAAGCTAGTGTCAAGTAGGAGTAGTATTGATGAATGTGAATAATGAAATTATTGTAGCTATTCTCAAAGCATTACGGGAACGGGAACCAAAAAAAGTTGTTCCCGCAGGTCTCTATCCTCAAGTCCTACTATTGAGGAGTACCCTTGGGTCCTCAAGTATTTGGAAAGACACCATGGAACTCCGCGAGTTACTGCTCGAGATATTGTTGACGCATGATCCAAAACCATAAATCAACAACGCTTTATTAGAAGACATGAATTTTTTTCTGGTTCAAGTTCTGGCGAATTAAAGACAAACATGGTGAAGATATGTGCCGCAAAAAAGGTAGAATGCAACAATCTCCATGTGATGAGGAACAGCGTCATTTATCGTGCTTCGCATTTTAAATCTGCAGAGATTGTTTCAATAAATTTTGTAATCAAATAACACGTTATTGAGCAAATAAAATAAAAAATAGGGTTCTTGTTTGTTATCGGGTGTGGGAGTGGATGTGTATGAGTGTGTGGTGTGAATGTGTGTGGGATGTGGGTGTGTGTATATGGATATAGGTGTGGGTGCATGGGTATGAGTGTGAATATGGATATTCTCTTGATGCATATTCACACTGACACCCACACCCCACATCTACACTTCGCACCTGCCCATACCCACCCCCACCCACACCTACACCTACACCTGCACCCTCCAGACAATCAAAGCATGGAAAAGAACTTTAAAGGTGTTCTTTCGATAGAGCTCATCAAGATCTACTTGGAAAGCTTCATGAGCGTTGGAAAGTTGATGAGAGAGAATCCTGACGAGTTTTAGGCAAAAACCTAGGATTTTAGCATTGTACAGCAATTTTCCAGGCAATCAAAGCATGGAAAGGAACTTAAAACGTGTCCATTCGATTGAGCTCATTAAGATCTATGTGCAGAGTTTCAAGAGAGC